AGACCTGATGACAATGATGAAAATGCTTATGCCAATATCATTATAATAGTGTAATGCAATTAAGATCTCAAATATTTATTATAACTCGTACAACCATTATATACCGCAAAGCGATATGGTTTCCCCATATCACAAGAGAAAGGGTGCCGTATATTCAAGGGGGAATTGTACAAACCTGTTACTGAAAAATTAAAAAAGTACAACACATGTGCGTGATACTAGTCACGAGAGCCAATACTATCACAGTGATATATGATTAACCAATCACATGCCATCGTGAGTATGATAGGTATGTGTGGTGGGAGAATGAATAAAATGTAATACCTATTTTGCCAAATGGTAGCAAGGTGTGATCCGCACTATTATCATTATTTTTTAACCTAAATGAGGTAATTTCATTTTAAGAGCACACGGTATTTTCTCCATATTGCAATTTACCTTGCAAATACCGTAAAGAGCGACATGTGTGGTATTTTGGCCGACATACTCCTGGCTTATCATGGCCGGTAATAATGATTTTCTACACTCACTAGGGACATTGAGGCTTGTCCCTTTATAAATTAGCCGCACATATTTAAATTCTCCAGATTCCCCGGCCCCAGGCTCTCCTTTTGACTCTGAACACCGCTTCTACTTCCCCCTCCTCAATGCCTACTATCACCTCAATCCATTCACAATCATCCACCAGGTCATTACTCCAGAATACATCCCTTCTCTCCTAACATCCTCTACTTCATCTGCTACCCCCTCCTCTATTTTTACTCAGCGGCCATATTGTCCACTTCTCCGCAGGACTACCTACTCCTACTACCCCCATTTCTTCAAACTTTTTGAATACTCTGATTAGCCCAGCCAAATATGATCAATTTTTCGTGATTCACTTTGCAACCTCCTTACTATGATAACACACTCTTCCAGCATTGCCTCTGAAAACAATTGGGCAAAGTTTCCTTTCGCAGCCTTCACAGTTACATTCGAATCCCAAGCTAAAGCCAAGCTGACTTCACTGGCAAACCCATTCCTGCCCAGCCTCATCCTTCCCTCAGTACTTGTACTGGAGCTGTCTCTATTTCCCCGACAAACTATCTTGTTTACGACAGAGATTGGTCAGATTGTGGAGAAGACCTACTTAGACCCAGAGCCCACAAGGGTCAGGGCAGCTGAAAAGCGAACCAATTTTCTCTTGTAATTCTATTATGTGATTGTAACAGTGTCTTACTATGGAGGTCTGCCGGGCGTGCGGTAGTGGGTGTGGCTGAGAGGGCTATGACAGAGGGGTAGAGAAGTTGAACTAAATCAATTCAATGATAGTAGTGTTTCAATGCCCCTTACACTTTCAGGAATTATGAAATGGCACTGGCAGACATTTCTAATAGTGGGGTACCCTCAACAGACTTACCACACAAAAATTGAACCAGTTCATCCGAAAAGCGAACCAAACGAAACCGATAGGAAATTGTTCAGTGCCACCCCAGGTATCACGAGTGAGCATTGCCAGACAGATTCAGTGGTGGGGTGCTAACATGGTAACATACTTCATACAGATTTCAAGAAGGCAAGAAGAACCTTAGCTTTATTGCTACTATTAATGTGTACCAAAGTTTAGTGGAAATCTGATGGCTTCTTTAATCATTTCAATTTGTTATGGACTATGACTTGTTCCGAAGTCTCCTTTATAGGTATGAATATTTTAGCCATCCTTTATACCAGAAGTAAGTTGATTATACATAACTTCCAGATTTAATTGTCTTCAGATCTTTTAAGTTAAAGTGGTCATTTCATCTGAATCTCCCTACTAACCTCTGACATGCATTTAGTGAATACATGCACTTAGAATTCATAACAAGAAATAGCTGGTAGAGATACTAAAGGGTAATCACTGCTACAAGGGATTTCTGGCAGGAACTTCACACTGTCTGGCAATGGTCAATCACGATGACTGGGGTGGCGCTGAACAATTTGCAATCAGTTTCATTTGGTGTTGAATAATTTCCAACAGGTTTCATTTGTTGAGATGAAACCTGGTTCAATTTTCGTGCGGCAGTTACGTAAGTCTGGCGGCGGTACAAAATTGAAAATTGTAGGCTCCTCCTCTTACTCATGGATTATGATGCATTATCAGTACAATGCTACACCATTCCCCCAAGAGGCCACCATAAGTCCTCCACCAATAATGCCAAGATAACTCTCCGGAGACATGAACTCCCATTGATGTTTATATTGGCAGGGAGTCCCTCCCTGTTCAACCATATTAACCTTCCCCCCCATCAAAGTCAGAACTGTTGTCCAAGCCATCGTGCTAAACACTGCCGCTCCATAGCCCGATACCCTCTGTATGCCCAACGTGGCCATAATCGATCAGTCACGCACATGTGCAATGTGTGGTGTCTCCCGTAATTGGGGCAGCTCTACCTACTAAATTTGAGTTTGAAGTGGCAATTCTCAATTCTCTTGGCCTCAATTTATGTGAGGCCAGACAGGAAACACGCAGACAAAGTTTTTCTCATACCCCTTACTCCACTGCTGCCCTTCACTCCGACCCTCACCCTCCCTCCCAAGATGTTTATACATATCCCCCAGTACCGCTTCCTCATCCAACTTCTAGCCTTCCCTCTCCTAATCAAAGTCCTTTGTCATTCTAAAACCAGGCGCCTCAGTTTCCACCACTATTCCAGCTAAACGTTCCACCGCATCATCTTCGTTAACCTCTCCCTCCGCCTCTCAAACGTCTGTCCCCTTTCCTCCTCATAAGAAAACCTTTGTTTCTTAATACATATATACATATATATACATATACACATGTATATATATGTGTATACATATATACACACATATATATACATATATACATATCTCTCTATATATACATGTATGCATGTATACATATACATATATATATACACATAATATATATACACATACACGCACACATACACACGTAAGTTTGTGTCTGTGTGCCTATATGTATGTGTGTATATATCCGCATATTCCCTGGCAGCACTTCGCCTCGCTCTTCGACCACGACCTCTTCGACACGGACGACAACCCCCACTCCCCGGGCGACGCCCCCCATTCCCCGGACGACTTGCTGAACGACTTCGTCCGCCACTCTTACACGTACGACCAGGAAGAGTACGACGACTTAGGTTTCCCCCTTGACGACCTCCGAGAAAAGGACGACGACGACGACGACGACGAGGAGGACGTGTTACCGGTCGAGTTCGTGTACGACAGGAGGTTCCCGTCCAGGTTCCTGCCGATCGACCGGAGGGTGAGTTGGGCCTGAGCAGAGCCGTAGTGGGGGGGGGGGGGCATGTACAGGATGCGTATCTATCTATATATCTATCTGTGTGTCTGCCCCGCCTGTCTTTCTATATATCTATCTATATGTCTATCTGTGTATTTATTTATTTTTTCTGAAATTTGCATTGATGGAAGGCTCTGGCATTGCCTAGCTTAGTATTGACCCTTGGTGATTTACATATTGCTGAAATGGAATGCGTATATATATATATGTATATGTATTTAAGTGTGTGTATATATATATATATATGTATGTATGTATGTATGTATATATGTGTATATATGTATGTATGTATATATATGTGTATATATGTATGTATGTATATATATGTGTATATATGTATGTATGTATATATGTATATATGTGTATATATGTATGTATGTATATATATGTGTATATATGTATGTATGTATATATATGTGTATATATGTATGTATGTATATATATGTGTATATATGTATGTATGTATATATATGTGTATATATGTATGTATGTATATATATGTGTATATATGTATGTATGTATATATATGTGTATATATGTATGTATGTATATATATGTGTATATATGTATGTATGTATATATATGTGTATATATGTATGTATGTATATATATGTGTATATATGTATGTATGTATATATATGTGTATATATGTATGTATGTATATATATGTGTATATATGTATGTATGTATATATATGTGTATATATGTATGTATGTATATATATGTGTATATATGTATGTATGTATATATATGTGTATATATGTATGTATGTATATATATGTGTATATATGTATGTATGTATATATATGTGTATATATGTATGTATGTACATATGTGTATATATGTCTGTATGTACATATGTGTATATATGTCTGTATGTATATGTGTGTACATATGTGTGGATGCATATGTGTGTATATATATGCATGCATGCATGTATATGTGTGTATATATGTGTATATATGTATGGATGCATATGTGTGTATATATGTGTATATATATATATGTATGTATGTATGTATGTATGTATATATGTGTATATATGTATGTATGCATGCACATGTGTGTGTATATATGTATATATATGTATGTATGCATGCACATGTGTGTATATATATGCATGCATGCATGCATATGTGTGTATATATGCATGCATGCATGCATATGTGTGTATATATATGCATGCATGCATGCATATGTGTGTATATATGCATGCATGCATGCATATGTGTGTATATATGCATGCATGCATGTATATGTGTGTATATATGCATGTATGCATGCATATGTGTGTATATATGTGTATATATGTATGGATGCATATGTGTGTGTATATATGCATGCATGCATGCATATGTGTGTATATATATGCATGCATGCATGTATATGTGTGTATATATGCATGCATGCATGCATATGTGTGTATATATATGCATGCATATGTGTGTATATATATGCATGCATATGTGTGTTTATATATTTATGTGTACATGCACATGTGTGTGTATATATGTATGTATGCATGCATATGTGTGTATATAAGTATTATACATACACATGTGTGTATATATATGTATGTATGCATGCACATGTGTGTATATATATATGTACATCAGCTATAAACACGCAGGGCCGCTTCGACCTCCTCAATCCAGTCTTGGGCCCGGAAGGAAGCCCCTTTGTCGAAGGAGACATGGTTTTCGCCGAAGAAGAGGAGGAGGAGGTGGCGGGCGACGACGGAGGACGGAAGTTGCCGTCGGAGGAGCAGCTGCTCTGGCCGCCGCACCCGGGCACCGGCTTTCCCTTCGTCCCGTTCGTCGTTCACAGCTCGGGTGAGGACGCTGGTCCTTGCTTCAGTTCTTGCTGCCGTTGCATCCAAAACATTATGTATGTTGTAGTGTACCCTGAGGTCCACCTGGCTTATAATTTATATATATATATACACGAACATATCTACTTGTATGGATGTATACGTCCGTACTCTGTTAAGAATTACATTACATTTTCTTTTAAGCATACACTATTTTGAATGGTGAAAACACTCTACCGTGTTGATAGTATGGTAGAAAAACCCACAATGTAAAACTAAATTTATTGAAAGTGAGACAACAGTTTCGGAATCCACCTGGATTCCATCTTCAGGTCTGGCCTATTTTATTTATTTATTTTTTTATTTTTTATTTTTTTTATTTTTTATTTTTTATTTTGTCTCTCTGTTAATGTTTTTATCTATCTTCCTAAATGTTTTGCAAGGTGCTTTTTATTGCCACATTTTTCTGCATTACTTATTAGTACTCTCTTCTCACATAATTTTATTTCTAAAAGATATACGTATAGACTAATCAGGTTAACGGGCGTGTAGCCCCAGCCAATCAGAGCCGTTCTAGGTCGTGCCCCTTGCAGTGATTTTCAAGGGCGCTCACGCTCACGACTGGCTGCACATACGCTCTCGTTGACCCCCCCCCCCCCCCGGATTTCGTAAAAATAATCAACAGCTAAGTATTTTCTCCGTATTTTGTGGTGGTGTTGGCGCAAGACAGCAAAAGAGCATTTTCTTGTGGCACGAGTGAAATAGATATTTTTTGTAGCTTACGATTCTTTAAAAAAATTATTAACCAGTAATTAAGTATGATAATCCTATGTTGCAGTCCAGCAGATAATAACGACGACGCTACATTACACACACACACACACACACACACACACACACACACACACACACACACACACACACACACACACACACACACACACACACACACACACACACATATACACATACACACATACATACACATAAATATAGTCAAAGAATCACTCACAAATCCAAAACACTTAAGTTTACGAGGAAAGAGCATGTGCTGAGTAGTGGAAGTAATGGGAATTGTGCAGACACACATATTTACCATTTTTTTAAAAGTTCTCTACCTCTTCCCCTTTAGCCGAGAAAATCAGGCCCTTCCTCGAGAAGGCCATCCGCTCGTGGGAGAAGCGCACCTGCATCACCTTCAAGGAAATACCCTCCGGATTCGAGGACGACCTCCAGAACTACTTAGGAACGCAGGACTTCCATCGGGGGCCATACCTTGAGTTCGTGCGGAGTTCCGGCTGCTGGAGCTACGTCGGGAGGCAGTACCGGCGGTGGGGGGGACAGAGACTCTCGATCGGGCGGGGGTGCACGAAGGTAAGGGCTTGAGGGTTGAAGGAGACGGCGGGAGGTGTGTATTATCATTGTGTGCTTTGGGTGGGAAGAACCACATTTTCATTTTGTGTATTCATTGGCTATTTGCGGAAAGTTTACTACTTATTACTCTGTGAGCTGTTTCATTTAACTATATACTACTTACAGTGACAGCAACATATAGTTAAAAACGGAAAGAAATCAACTCGAACATTATTGTTTATAGGGAGGAAAAAAATAAACCAGCATTGACCCTTGGAAACACATTGTGAGACATGTGTAGTGGATAAGTTGTGATACAAGCGGTTTGCAATCTTTTCGACATTATGCCAGCAAACTGAGAGTATTGCCAGTTATACAAAAATAGCATATTTTTTGTAACAGTACATGATGCGAGATGGAATGAAAGCTTTTATTGGATTTCAATGGTTCCCATGGTATACTAGGGTCGACAGATAAAAAGCAGTGGAAGACTGTGTCAGCAGATCGATTTTGTGGCTTCTATTTTATTAGTTATTAAGCACTTAGTAATTTGTTAATCTCGCGTTTATGACTAGTTCATTTATCTTACTAATACGGGAGACACTGGCCTGTAAGGAGCGGCGTGATCTTTGTTATATTGAGTTAATCAGAAAATATCCATGTTTGAAAGATTAATTCAATAAATGAGAGGAGCAACAAAAATGTAGTAATGCAATGCTTAATGACTGACACTCTTTCAAAGCATTTTGTCAACCTGCTAATTAGAAAGAACTATGCTTGCTTCGGGTCCATCTGCTCGTAAGCCTTTCTTTCCTTGAAGCTTCTCGTAATAAGGTCCTCATGGGTTATTCACTAACTCCCCAACTCCCACTGTCATCTTAATATGAGTTACATATCTTTATAGCCTATAAAACAAAGCCTGTAACTTATGCCATTTTCAATTCAGTCACTCACATTATCGGTCTCCCTTCATAGCTCGGCACAGTATTGCATGAAATCGGCCACGCACTCGGCCTCCTGCATGAACAATCTCGGAGTGACCGAGACGAGCATGTGAAGATCTTGTGGGACAACGTAGAGCACGGGAAAAAGAAGAACTTTCACGTGTGGAAAGACAGTCGCTTTGATGATGTGCCTTACGATTACTCTTCCGTCATGCACTATGGGAGTTATGTAGGTAGTTTTAGCTCGTCTACCGTTTTTGTTGATCTTTTATTTTCTTTGTCTTGTTCTTTCCCTATTTGTGTACATTAATTTTATCTCTCACAAACCAACAAAAAAGTAAAAAAAAGAAAAAAAAGAACATGATAATGGTCATCTTCTTACAAAAGTGATACCAGTGATGATGGACGATAATGATAATGTATATAGAAATATTGACAACTGTGCTACTAATTGTAAACGACAGCAGTTTTTACAAGGGAATTTTAGTAGAAATGAGGATAATCAAATTGTAAACTCTAGTAGCTACTCATGATGACAATATGGTGATGAACTAACTTTCCTTTGTTCTCCATTTCCTCTATCTGCCATCATTCTCACATTCCTCCTCCTCCTCCCAGTTTTTCAGCCGAGGCGGCCGACCGACCCTCCTCCCCAGGAACCCCTTCCACCAGCACCTCCTTGGCCAGAGGGATGGCTTTTCCTTCAGGGACATCGCGGTGGCCAACTCCGTCTACGGCTGCATTAGTGAGTCGGTCGATTGCTTTTGTAAAGGTCTTATTTTCATATATGGCGTGTTAGAGACATGGAGTCCTGATGCCTGTATCTGTTGTTGTTTTTTTCTGTTTGTTTATCTGTGTATGTCTCCTGTATGTATGTATGCCTGCGTTGCGTACTTGCATGCATACGTCCACCCGCGTGTTTATATAGTTAGCGCAGCGTGATTTTGCCAATACAGTCATACACCTGTTAACAAATTTTAGAATCATTTCAAAATCTTATCTCAGAACATTAGTCGTCTCTGCACTTTCATTGTATCTATTATTGTTGCCTTGTTTATTCATATAATGTCTCATTGTATATCCTTCTGTATATACCCTTCATGTATTTGTTTATATCTATGACTGCCAGATAATGATGCCAAACTACAAAATTATCTTCGCTGTTGACTAGGGCGCTTGGTAAGACCTGTTATCACCCAAAAGGTTCAGCCAATAGTTTCAGTTGTATTCTATTCATCTTTTTCATTTGTAATTATTTTGAGGGTCTTTGATGAAGAATTTTGGCTTGAATTTGACTAAATTCTCCCGCTTCCCTTCTCCTCCTCCTCCTCTTCTTTCGCGTCCTCCTTTTCTTTTCGCCCCCCCCCCCTTTCTCATGACCTTCATCTTCCCCCTTTCTCACCATCTTCCTCTTCCCCCTTTCTCATGACCTTTCTTCTTCCATCCTTTCTCCTCTTTTCTTTTTCCTTCTTCCCTCCTCCTCCTTCCTTCCTTCCTCCTCCTTTCTGCTTCCTTCCTTCCTCCTTTCTGCTTCCTTCCTTCCTCCTTTCTTCCTTCCTTCCTCCTTTCTTCTTCCTCCCTTCCTCCTTCTTCCTTCTTTCTTCCTCCTTCCTTCCTCCTTTCTTCTTCCTTCATCCTCCCTTCTTCCTCCTTTCTTCTTCCTTACTCCTTTCTTCCTTCTTGCTTCCTTCTTCCTCCTTTCTTCCTTCCTTCCTTTCTCCTTTCTTCCTTCCTCCTTTCTTCCTTCCTTCCTCCTTTCTCCTTTCTTCCTTCTTCCTCCTTTCTCCCTTCCTACTTTCTTCCTTCTCTCTCCTTTCTTCCTTCTCCCTCCTTTCTTCTTCCTTCTTCCTCCTTTCTTCCTTCTTCCTCCTTTCTTCTTCCTTCTTCCTCCTTTCTTCCTTCTTCCTCCTTTCTTCTTTCTTCCTCCTTTCTTCTTTCTTCCTCCTTTCTTCTTTCTTCCTCCTTTCTTCCTTCCTCCTATCTTCCTTCCTCCTTTCTCCTTTCTTTCTTCTTCCTCTTTTCTTCCTTCTTCCTCCTTTCTTCTTCCTTCTCCTTTCTTCCTTCTTCCTCCTTTCTTCATCCTTTCTTCTTCCTTCTTCCTCCTTTCTTCTTCCTTCTTCATCCTTTCTTCTTCCTTCTTTATCCTTTCTTCCTTCTTCATCCTTCTTCATCCTTTCTTCTTCCTTCTTCATCCTTTCTTCTTCCTTCATCCTTTCTTCTTCCTTCTTCATCATTTCTTCTTCCTTCATCCTTTCTTCTTCCTTCTTCATCCTTTCTTCTTCCTTCATCCTTTCTTCTTCCTTCTTCATCATTTCTTCTTCCTTCTTCATCCTTTCTTCTTCCTTCTTCATCCTTTCTTCTTCCTTCTTCATCCTTTCTTCCTTCTTTATCTTTCTTCTTCCTTCATCCTTTCTTCCTTCTTTATCCTTTCTTCTTCCTTCTTCATCCTTTCTTCCTTCTTTATCCTTTCTTCTTCCTTCTTCATCCTTTCTTCTTCCTTCTTCATCCTTTCTTCTTCCTTCATCTTTTCTTCCTTCTTTATCCTTTCTTCCTTCTTTATCCTTTCTTCTTCCTTCATCCTTTCTTCCTTCTTTATCTTTCTTCTTCCTTCTTCATCCTTTGTTCTTTCTTCTTCCTTCTTCATCCTTTCTTCTTTCTTCTTCCTTCTTCATCCTTTCTTCTTTCTTCCTTTCTTCTTCCTCCTTTGTTCTTCCTTCCTCCTCCTTTGTTCTTCCTTCTCCTTTGTTCTTCCTCCCTCCTTTGTTCTTCCTCCCTCCTTTGTTCTTCCTCCCTCCTTTGTTCTTCCTTCTTCCTCCTTTGTTCTTCCTTCCTCCTTTGTTCTTCCTTCTTCCTCCTCCTTTGTTCTTCCTCCCTCCTTTGTTCTTCCTCCCTCCTTTGTTCTTCCTTCTTCCTCCTTTGTTCTTCCTTCTTCCTCCTTTGTTCTTTTTCCCTCCTTTGTTCTTCTTTCCTCCTTTGTTCTTCCTTCCTCCTTTGTTCTTCCTTCCTCCTTTGTTCTTCCTTCCCCCTTTGTTCTTCCTTCCTCCTTTGTTCTTCCTTCCTCCTTTGTTCTTCCTTCCTCCTTTGTTCTTCCTTCTTCCTCCTCCTTTGTTCTTCCTCCTCCTTTGTTCTTCCTCCCTCCTTTGTTCTTCCTCCCTCCTTTGTTCTTCCTTCTTCCTCCTTTGTTCTTCCTTCTTCCTCCTTTGTTCTTTTTCCCTCCTTTGTTCTTCTTTCCTCCTTTGTTCTTCCTTCCTCCTTTGTTCTTCCTTCCTCCTTTGTTCTTCCTTCCCCCTTTGTTCTTCCTTCCTCCTTTGTTCTTCCTTCCTCCTTTTCTTCCTCCTTCATCCTTCCTTCATCCCATCCTTCCTTCATCCTCCTTTCTTCTTCCTTCCTCCTTCATCCTTCCTTCCTCCTTCATCCTTCCTTCCTCCTTCATCCTTCCTTCCTCCTTCCTTCATCCTTCCTCCATCCTTCCTCCTTCCTTCATCCTTTCTTCCTCCTTTCCCTTCTTTCCCCAGAGCGATGGGAAGCCTCCTGCGGCGCCTCGACCTCGAAGTGCGAGAACGGAGGCTACGTGTTCAGGGACTGCCGCTGCCTGTGCCCTCCCGGAACAGCTGGGCCCACGTGCGCTGCTGTGGCCGGAGACTACTATCGTAAGTCACTGATTAAACCTTGGACAGTTGGATTGTTTTCTTTGTCATAGTGATATGCGTGTTGTTAATGTCTTTGCTGTTGTTTTCTAACATCATTTTGCTTTTGTTATTGTTTTCTTGATGCTGTGTTGGTGTGTTATTTTTTTTATGTTGTTTTATTACCATTGTATCTGTTGTTATGATTTTGGTATTGATTTTTCATTATCGTGATCGTTTGTTACGAGCTATTACTTTTTTTCCACTTTTGTTGTCTGTAATTTTTGAAAGTTATTTTAATTACTACGGTCTGTATATTTATTAGTTAATACCATTAGAACGATTAACCATCGGATATGTATGATAACAGTACTTTAGAATTATTCTTATTGGTTTCCTCTCAGAACCCCCATCCCAACGCGTCATGTCGAAAAGTGTAAGAACATTTGTAGTTGAACATATTTTTCAGTCGCTAGAATTTAGATTGCTGTATTTCGTTTATCGATCATTAATTCTAACCAAGCGCTTCACTGAGCGGTGAAAAAATTGCATAAAAATATGACTACTGATGATTATATGTCTCACTAAACTCGAAAATCGTAGACATTTAGCAGCCGTGTAACACGTTTCGATTATGTTTAGCACAGCTGAAGTGTGGCGGTAACGTGACGTCATCCCAAATCATCTCGTCGCCCAGATACCCGCAGCCCTTTCCTGCGAATAGTAGGTGGATGGGTTGTAATAGTTGTCAGTCGGTATTGTTTATTGATTAATTGGTCATATGAATATACGAGATTAATGATAGTATGAACTAAATTGTTGCTTTCTCTCTCTCCCTCCCTCCCTCCTTCCTATTTCATGTTTAATATTTGTTTTTCTTCTCCCATATATCTGTTTATCTCTCCCATAATCAATCCCCACTTCTGCCTCTCCTTCCCTTCCCCTCCTCCCGATCATCATTCTCTCCTCAACTTCACTACCACCACCCTTTCCCCTCCCCTCCCCCTTCCCCTTCGCCCCTATCTCTCCCATCCTCCAGCCTGGTGCATGTGGTGGGCGAGAGCGCCACGCCCCTGCCAGCGCGTGAAGCTCGTCGTGGGCGCCTTCGAGCTCCTGCGCAGTGTGGGCGGCGTCTGCCACTGGGACTTGCTCGAGATCCGGCTCCGGGATCCCCTTGAGGCGGGCGACGTGTGAGTAGAGGAGGACGTGTGGTGCGCAGAGGGAGCCAGGGATAGGAGTGAGGGAGGGTTAGGAATGAGGAATCATGGGGTGAGGGAGGATTAGGAATGAGGAATCTTGGGGTGAGGGAGGATTAGGAATGAGGAATCTTGGGGTGAGGGAGGATTAGGAATGAGGAATCTTGGGGTGAGGGAGGATTAGGAATGAGGAATCTTGGGGTGAGGGAGGATTAGGAATGAGGAATCTTGGGGTGAGGGAGGATTAGGATTAGGAATGAGGAATCTTGGGGTGAGGGAGGATTAGGAATGAGGAATCTTGGGGTGAGGGAGGATTAGGAATGAGGAATCTTGGGGTGAGGGAGGATTAAGAATGAGGAATCTTGGGGTGAGGGGATGGGGGAGTGAGGAGTAATGAAAGAAAGGGATGAAGGAAAGGGAGATTGGGGGACAAGCCATAAGGAATGAAGGGATGAGTGGGAAGTTGGGATGTAAAAATTGTAAACAAGGTTTGCATATTATTTTACATTTTTTTTCTTCTGATTTACATGCGAACATTTGTGCCCAATTCACATCTCTAGGTGTATGAATGAGCTCGTAGTACAGATTTTCAAAACTATTTTTCCGGTTTCTCTTTCTTCCTCTTTCGCTTTCCTGTTACGTGTCCTCTCTCCTCCGTTCCTCCCTTCCTTCTTCTTTCCCTCTCTCTCACTAACCACTCTTCCTCTCCCTTTCCATCTTTATTTCCCTCCCCCCTTTTCCCTCTTTCTCTCCCCTTCCCGCTCTCTTCCTCTCTCACCCCCCCTCTCTTTTCGTCGCTCCTTCTCTTCAATTCTTCCTTCCTCTCCCTCTCCTCCTCCTCCTTCTCTTTCCCTTTTTATTATACCCTCCTCCTTCTCTATCTGCCCTCCTTTTCTCTCCCTCTCTATATATCCATCCCCCCCCACCCCCGCTCCCTGTGCCCCGACCAAACCTCCTCCCCCTCCCGTCCCCCAGGTACTGCGGCGCCGACCTGTCCCCCGGCCAAGAGCTCGTCTCCGAAGGCCCGGAGATGTTCATCGTCTTCCACGGGAAGTATGGCTTCGTGAGCGGGTTTTCGGCTCGGCTGGACTTCGTCGAGGGGGAGAGGACGGGGACCGAAGGATGCGAGGAGATGGGAGAAGAAGCGGAAGGTGGGCCGACAGGAGAAGGAAGGGAAAGAGAAGGAGGAAGAGACACCGGTGGCGGGAATTCGTTGTTTAATTAGTGACGTGAGCATTGGTTTTCTAACGGAGGCATTTTGTTTTATCGACTTGTTTCCATACATATTATCTCAAATATGTTTCGTTCACAGATCATAAATCCACGAAATTCATATCCTACTGTAATTATTTTTCCGTCGATGTTGAACAGAATCCTTGAAATGTTGAAACTTGGTTGGTATTTGCAATTTGCCTTGGTAGTATGAATTATGGAATTACGAAATTATTGCAAATTAATGTTCCTATTAACAATTAATTAATATTTTTTTCATATGCAGTCACACTAATGGCATATGTCCCTTAATCTGCATTCTTTCGAAATGAAAATTTGGCATATGAGGTATCCTCCCTATTATACTGCTATGCACATTTGTACAAACTTTTTCACGTTAAGGATAATCGTTTTTCAGTTTCCCTCAAATAAAAATGTCTAATATATATTGTTATTACATCCTTGGTTAAACATATGAACTTAATAATATTTACTTTCCATTTGTGTTACTCGGGAAAAGTGTTCAGTTGCTCTTTCTCCCCTTCAAGTAGAGCGGTTTCCAATAACATGCAATGCGAAATGGTGTTTACATAATACATTAAATTTCTTCGCCAACCATCCTTTCGTGAGACATTACTTGGCACCATTTTACTTACTGATTTACACATTTTCATGCTGTTTGCAAGAATTCTAAATGTATGAATGCAGAAAAAAAATACTAGATTCCCAACATCCATTGACGACGTGATTGTAATAATATTTATAACCTAAGGTCAAAACAGTAAAGTATGAAGAGCGGGAGGAGGTAATGATTAATTAAAAAAGCAAATAGATGTGTCAGAATCAAAGGTCAGGGATAAGCAAAAGGGAAATGGGTTTAAGGCGATTAGATCAAATGGAGGATACAGGTCCGTGAGAACAGAAACCGCAAATATTCCATGTGGAGCTATTATGAAACAAGTAACAAGTATGATAAGGATAAAACTTGGTGTCGAAGTAAGCGAGGAAGAACCCGGGGAATAAGAGAGATCCGGGGGTAGGGATGAAGTATCAGGAGGAATATCAGAAAGGGGAGGAGAGGGGAGACATGCTTGGAGATCACGGGAGATGTTTCAACCTCATTGCAGAATA